CCCATAGGCGCCCCTCGCAGCGTGAGCCCGTCGCGGCGCGAGGCCTCGAGGGGATGTGCGGCCTCGTGGGGCACTCGCCTGGCCCTGGGGGCAGCGAAGCGGCGGTTCGAGGTGAGGAGCGGGCTCCCGGGAAGAGGTCCATGTCTCCGGGCCCACGATGCGAAACAGCCACGACGTCGGGCGTCTGGGTCGCCTCTCCGCTCCTCTCGTTTTGGCAGGGCATCTGCAGAGTGCAGAGACAGTCAGCCGCGAGGCCAGTTTCGCTGGCGGGGCCCCTCGGTGGACTCGGGCTGCTGGTGGCGCAGAGGTGCGCGAGCGATGCGCAATCAAGATGCGGTAGCAATGACACAGAGATGCGGTTGCGCCCGCCTCCTGCCGCTTGCTCCACCTCCTCGTCCGCCTGCTCCTCGTACGTCCGCCTTCCTTTTCCCTCCTGCGTCCCCCACTCCTCCCTCCTCCTCCTGGCCCCCCTCTCTCCCGCCTGCCTGCCTTCCTCCCTCCTCTGGCCGCTGGCCCCTCCTCCCGCCGCCTCCTGCTCCTCCTCCGCTTCCGCCTCCTCCAGGGAGGAGGGCTGCCCAGAGGCCTTCGGAGGGCTGCTCTGGGGGGTTTTCGGAAGCTCCCCCCGGTCATTGGAAAGCCGTGCTCTCCCCATGTCCGGTTTCCGAGGGCCCTTCCTGCAGGCCCCTGGCAGGACACGACTCAGGACTCGGGATGCAGAGGTCGAGGAGGAGGGCCCCGGCCTCGGCCCCCAGCATCGCCCGGCGCCGCCGGCGATCGTGGGCCTCCGAGGCATCTCTGACTCTTCGCCGCGAGGAAGTTCGGCTGTTCTGCATCTGGCCTTGGGGGCCAGGTCCGACCTTGTAGGGACCCCGTATGGGAACCGACAGGGCACATCGAACTTCGGGTTGGGGGGATGGGGCTTGGAGAAGTGGGCGTACCGTCCGAATGATCGCGTGTGGTGAAGGTGGTCATGTCACAGACATGCGCACTGCCTTTTGCCGTCGCATCATTCATAGCTTGAAATGCCTGCCGATTGTGCTGGTACTTCTGCTTTAACTTAGTTGGGCTTGTTGCGTTCATCTCGATAGAATCGGCTATCCCACTTATCGCACTCACGCGTCTCCCCTTCATCGTCAGCAGTTCCTCCTGAAGAGCCCTGCTCTGCGTATCACGGGCAGTCGGGCATCACCTATGGGGTCCGATCGGCAGCGATGTTGCAACGCCGGTACCGAAGACTCAGGCAGAAGTCGTTGCGCAACCCATGAAGAACGGAAGCCGATCAACGCAGTAGTGATTTCGTATAACGGACGAGACGCAATACGGAATACAGTCCTGTTTTCGTATCAGGAACGGAACGCAATGCGGAACCAGCCGCGGCCCCGCAACCTCCCAAAATTGTACATAAGCACGAGGAAAATGTCACTAGCGAACTCCGCATCAGCAGCGGATCACCATACAGAACCCGATGTATAATTCAGTACTTGATCACTGGGTAATGCTCATGCCCTTGGTCCATCCCCTGTGCTCGCCGCGTCGCTTCGCTTCAACAGCTGAAATCGTCCAAAATGGCTTCGAGAGGGCCCAGAACACATACAACAGGGCTCTTGGGTAGCCCCCCTAATGCCTCGACAGCGCTCCAAGAGGGCCCCACGAGGGCCACGAAGTATGCTGCAGGGTGCAACTCGGTCCTTGGGAAGTTCCCAGGGTCCAAGAAGACCCCAGGAGGGCCACGAAGTAGGTTGCAGGTTGCAATCCGTTTCTAAGGAAGCTTGCGCGGTGTTGGATTGGCGGCCCATGCGCTGCGGCGACAACGTGTGCCCCCTTCGCTAGATGCAGGTGACCGAAGGTATCGTTCATTGCATTCGAATGCTATTGATCATCTGTACCCTCCCAGCCCCTTTTTTCCCCAACACGATAACTGTCTTTCTCAATCTCTGGGCACATGGGGCGTGCAGTGGCCTCGCCTTCGGCGGAAGTGCTGGCGGAAGGTACAGCGGCGTCGGGCCCGCCCGCGGACGGAAGCGAAAGCGACACGCCAACACTCTCGGAGAGAGGCCGAAGCATCCAGGTCGAACGATCCAATGCGTGTGAAATGACGTCGTGCAGGGTGTAGGACATTTGGTGTACTTCCACTGGGTGCGGCAGGCCTGTGGTGCCCACCTTGGGTGTCTGAAAGGCGTGCGGCTCCCGTCGGTGCCCACACTGGCCTGCCCGCCGGGCTCCCAGAGCCGGCCACGTGGCAACGGGCGGGCGGCGCAGCATCTCTCCTGCCGGCCCACCCGCCCTCGCCGTGCGGACTCGCTGCAGCTTGCGCCTCGGACAGTGCGTTCAGGCGTTCTGCCTTGCCTTTCTTGGTTATTTCCTTCCTCCTCCTCCTCCTGCTCCTTCTCCTCCTCCTGCTGCTCTTCCTCGCCCTCCTCCATCTCCTTTCTCCTCACTCCTTCTTCTCCTTCAGTCCTCCTCTATGGCACCGCGCCCTCGCGCGCGGAATGCGAGATTCCGCCGACGTATGCGGTTCGGATGCAGTTTTGGCGAGGCCGAATTTAGCATCGGCGCTGATCTACCTGCTGGCAAATCCTAATCTGGCTCAGTCCGGTTTGCTTTGGCTCGGTCCCGCGCGAACCGCGCTCATCTTGTGCCCAACCCGGCTTCGTGGCCCCGCAGTCGGGCTGGGCATCCCTCGGTCGTTCCCACGAAGGCCTCCCAGAGGTTGCCTTCTCAGGAGGGGGGCGCGCAGCCCCGGCCCGAGCTCGAATCCGATCAGCCCCGTGCCCCCTCGCAGGAGGGCGGCGGCGGCGACGCCGCTGCAGCCGAGGGCCGCCGCGGCGAGGGTGGGCCGCCGCAGCCGCGCGCGCTCTCGTGGCCGCTTCCCCCCCCGCCCGCGCCACGCCACGGCGCGCCAGCGCAGGCTGATCTGAGACCCTGTGGAAGCATGGAGGGAGTGTTTATTCTATGATCGTTGATGACTCTTCGGTTTACAATTGTCCTCCTCCCTCTCCTCCTCCTTCTCCTCCTCCTCCTCCTCCTCCACCTCCTCCTTCACCTCCTTCTACTCCTCCTCCTCCTCCTCCTCCTCCTCCTCCTTCTCCTCCTCCTCCTCCTCCTCCTCCTCTTGCGAGGAAACAAGTTTGCGGGCGCCTTCGTCTCGGCAGTTGCCAGCCCAGCGGTTGCGTCTCGCCAAGAGCGGGTGGGGAGGAGGGAACAAGTCTGCGGGCGTCTTCGTCTCAGCAGTTGCAAGCCCAGCAGTTGCGCCTCGCCGAGCGCGGGTGGGGAGGAGGGAACAAGTTTGCGGACGTCGTCGTCTCGCCAGTTGCCAGTGTCGGGACGCTTCCCAGCAGTTGCGTCTCGCCGAAGGCGGGTGGGGAGGAAGGAACAGGTCTGCGGACGCCTTCGTCTCGGCAGTGGCCCGTGTCGGGACGCTTCCCAGCAGGTGCGTCTCGCCGAGAGCGGGTGGGGAGAAGGGAACAAGTCTGCGGGCGTCTTCGCCTCGGCAGTGGCCAGTGTCGGGACGCTTCCCAGCAGTTGCGTCTCGCCGAGAGCGGGTGGGGAGAAGGGAACAAGTCTGCGGGCGTCTTCGCCTCGGCAGTGGCCCGTGTCGGGATGTTTTCCAGCAGCTGGCGCCTCGCCTAGAGCGTTCTAGGGGTGCCCGGATCGCCCCCATCGGCCGCCGGAGACCCGAGTTGTGGCCCGAAAGCGGGACGACGAGGATCATTCAGACCGGACGATGAGTGAAGGGAAAGTGAGATAAGCAGGAGAATTTCTGCATGCTTCGCCGCGCCGCCCGGCGCTGTCCCCGATACGTTGGCGCCTCGGGCGGCGGGAGGCGTTGGGGGAAAATCAGCAGCTGATTTGCTAATCCCACCACCGGCTATTTCTCCTTCTGGCCCGACCCCGTTGGAGGGCGGACAGGCGACGCCACCACCACCAGCGGGCCACCTCCAGCGAGGAGGTCCGTGATGCCTCTCCGAGCTGGAGATTGGACGCGTCTCGAGTCTCGAGCGCGAACATCGCGGAACAAGGTGGCCAGACCACCAGGAGGACCTTCCTTGGCTTTTCGCGATAGTGGTGGTGGTGGTGGTGGTGGTGGTGGTGGTGGTGGTGGTGGTGGTGGTGGTGGTGAAGCCGTGCCCAGCAGCCGACGATTGCATCCCATGTCGCGTGGTAGCTGCAGGGCGTTTCGTAGACGTTGAGGCTGGAAGCATGCAGCTTGGCAGTGCAGAAACGCTGCCCAAGCAGGAAACAAAAGCACGCGTTCGCCGCCGGCTTGGGAGATCTCGGGTGTCTGTCGCGCGCCGCGCCCCTCGCGGCGCGGAGTTTGGGGATCGAGCGAACCAGGCCCGAAGCAGAACCCACCAGGAGGGGGGGAGAGAACCGCCACTGGGCGGGCGGTGGCACGCCTGAGCGTGCGACGCGTGCCACCGCCCAAGGGGGTCGGGCTGCCCACCCCCCGGATGGGTTCTCGTTGGCCGTGGCCTTTGCTCCCGCGCGGGGCCAGGCCCGGCGGCGAGCGAGGGGGGGAAGCGAGGAGGAGAGGGCCTCCTCGGGAGGCTCGGAAGTCCCCTGGCCTTCCGGGGAGTGCTCTGAGCCCTCCCGGGAGACACATGTCAAAGACTCTTCAGAAGGCGCGAGAGGGCCTCTGAGAAGTCCGCGCCGCTTTCTGAGAAGGTCTTCTCCTTCTCGTTCCCCTCCCTCGCCCGCCGCCGCCCAGTGAAGTCCAATGGAGTTGTGTTGGCTTTCGATTGGTTTCCACAGGAGTCCGATGGAAGCCAAGAGACTCCAACGGAGCCTGCTGGAGCAATGCAGCCCGCTGGAGCCACATGGAACTTCCGATGGGGCCCAGTGGAGTCGCGTAGGTGTGACATCTGTGCCCAGTGGTGTTCAATCGAGTCCTATGGAATCCAATCGAGGACTGTGCTGCCACCGCCGCCGTCGTCTCGCCGCCGCCACCCGCGCGCGCGCGGCAACCGGTTTGGCTCGGCCGCGCCCCTCGCCGACGGGGGCCCGCGGCAGCGCCGCGCGCGAGCGAGCCGGGGCACCCGCCCTCGGGCGCGCCGCGCCCTCGGGCGCGCCGCGCCCTCGCGCGCGCCGAGGCCTTCCAGGCGAGCAGGGCACTCGAACGCTGTCGGGCGAGGAGGAGGAGGAGGACCAGGGTAAACCCAAGGGTCATCCACGATGTTGCGATGAACCCTCCCTCTAATCTTTCTCATCACTGGCCCCTACAACGGGTCACTTCCATGGAGTGAACTGCCCCGTTGGAAGACAACCTCTTGAAGACCTTGAAGCATGCTGCAACATTGTGCTTGGGATTTCCACGCCACGGATCAACCTGATTGCTGCGTCCTGACGATCTGGAATCGTGCCAGAAGGCCATTATGGGCATTTCAACACCGCGAGTCAACAGAACTGTTGCACCCGCACAATCCGGAATCCTTCCCACACGCAATTTCTGGTACGTTGACCATGGGAATCCGTGAAACTCACGCAAGCTCTCAAAACGAATGCTCGCAGCGCTAAGGCGAGAGCCACATGTAGAAAAGGAACCGCACTCGACCCGTGAAACTCTGGCAATTGTTTAAAGCGAATGTGCGCGGTGCTAAGGCGAGAGCCACATTTTGAAACCACCCGCCCTCAATCCGTGAAGCTCTTACGAACGTTGAAATTGAATGTGCGCGGCGCTGAGGCGAGAGTCACAGTTTGAAAGCCACCTGCCCTCAATATGTGAAGTTCGTGCAAATGTTTGCAACGGATGTGCGCGGCGCTTCAGCGAAAGCTACAGTTTGAAGACCACCCGCCCTCAATTCGTGAAATGTCTGCAATGTTTTAAGACGAATGTGCGCGGCGCTCAGGCGAGAGCCACATTTTGACAACCACCCGCCGTCAATCCGTGAACTTCTTGAAAATGTTTACAACGACTGTGCGCGGCGCTAAGATGAGAGCCACATTTTGAAAACCGCCCGCCCAAATCCGTGAAACTCTTGCACATGTTTAAAACGAATGTGCGCGACGCTAAGGCGAGAGCCACATTTTGAAAACGACCCGCCCTCCATCTGTGAAGCATTTGCCATTTTTAAGCTTCAGAGTCATAAGTGGTGAGGACGTCTCAGGCGAAACGCTCGGGCCGCCCTACAAACTGGCTTCGGGGTGCGGTAAGGGAGAACTTGTTCATAAGGAAAAGGAATGGAGGAGGAGGAGGAGGAGGAGGAGGAGGAGGAGGAGGAGGAGGAGGAGGAGGAGGAGGAGGAGGAGGAGGAGGGAGGTTCCTTCGGGGCCGAGGAGTTGTCTGGGCCGAGGAGCTGCCTGGGGGCCGAATTTCCTTGGGGCCGACGGGCTGTCTGGGCCCCCACCTTCTCTTCTCCAGCCTCCTGCCCTCGCGCATCCATCGCCGGCGTCCCCCCTCCGATGGCCCCCACCACGGCACCGCTGCCTGCACGGGCCCCGCATCGCCAGGGTTCAGCTCGCTTTTGGACGAGGCTCGAGGATCGCCCTTTTTAGCGCGTCCTGTTGACCTGGAGGCTCCTGGGGGGCTCCGGAGGCTTCGGGGCAGGGGCCTCCCATGACACGAGCAGGAGGGGTCGGAGGATCGCGCGGCATCGCCAGCACACTGGCGGTGCGGCACGATCCAAAGCCAGAATCTCTTCACTTTGCCTAGGGGGACGAAGAATGGCAGAAACATAGAAACTCGGAGGCCCGCGCAGATTTCTCGGATCGGCGCTGGACCCCCCTCGATGATTAAGTGTCAAATCCATGGAGCCCTTGCGCGACCAATAATTCAATGTTTGTCTGAGTATTACCGCTATTCCCGTTCACTATCGTCGAATACCGTCTGCTACCATATCACGTATCCCATGTGCTCTAATGTGGCAGACACTGGCACCATGTCGTCTGGTGGTCGCAGGCACGTCGTGTTGATAACAGGCGGTGTGTGCGTTGTTGGGGGGATGGGGGTACGAAGCGGAGGAAGAGAGAGGGGACGGAGCGGAGGGGGGGAGGAGGGATGCGCAGCTGATTTGGGCAACTCCGTGTCTGAATCCATCGCTCGCCGCCTGCTGCCCCCGCTGTCGGGGCTTCGCGGGCACGCGTGGACTATCAAGAGGGATGAAAGGGCCCAGGAAGAGGGGGGCCACGCCTCAGCCCAGGATGCATCAAAGATGTTGCGGCACGTTGGCCGGTTTACGTAAAATGGATGTTCGCCGTTCGCTTGTCACTTCGTGCAGCTGTGAAAATCAGAATGCAGGGTGGGCGCCCTCGAAAAGTTCGTGAGGGCAGGATGCCGCCAAAGGATGTGTGCGGACGCATTTATTTGTTCCTACAACGGCGCGAGCGGTGCGAAGTTCGGAGGGGGCGAATTGCGCGCTTGGAACAAGCTTCCCACCGTCGCCGCCTGCAACTCGATGCGCGTTGCTTGCGAGCGGGAATGCTTCTTGGGACGCTTTTCGGGAATTTCCTGGACTGCGCCGCTCTTACACTTCGGCACATGGCTCAAGTGGCACCTGAGCAGCATGCCACTCTGTTTGCGCATGGGAAGCCTTTTGAAGGCATGTTCGAGGCCTCTTGGAACCTCTCAGGTTTTTTGTGGCGGGGCCTCTCCCGAGCCTCTCGGACGCTCAAGGGCGCTCGCGACCTCGAGGGCCCCCTTGGTGGAGGGCGCGGGATCTCAGTTCGCGCCCCCGCTCGCGGAGCCTTCTCTGGCCGCATTGGGCGCCCCCTGGGCCGTCCCGGGCCCCTCTTCGGGGGCCTCTGGGGCAGTCTTGTTGGATGTGGGGAGGCCCCCCGGGGCCGTCTCGGCGCGTCGAGAGCCCGAAACAGCGAGAGCGCTCAGAGTCTCCGAGTGCTCACCGAAATCGTTGACGTTTGCCTCCCGGGGCCCTCGTGGAAGCGCCCCCGGGGTTTTCGCGGTGCCTTCGGGAGGGTTCTTGGGGGATCTTTGAGGTCCTCTTGGGCGCCTTGGGCCGATCGTTATGCGGGTCGGGGCTCTCTTGGACTGCTTCGCCTCTCGGTGGCTCGTTGGGGTCCTTTTGGGGTGTCTTGGGCCCGTCTAGGGATCTGGGCGATTTGGGAGCGCCCAGTAGCGCTAGTAATCCCGCGATGCGCCCTCCTAACACAATCTTCGGGATCGAGGGCAGAGGATCGCATTGGGCCTGAGGACACCCAGTGCCTGGCGGCACTGGCGGATGCTTATTTTTTCTTCTCGGGGGGGAGCGCGTTTTGTCGCGCGCAGGGGCTCGCAATAAGATCGAAGGCGTCAGCGTGGAATGAATAGATGGATCGCCTTTTCTGCAAGGACACGGCAGAGAACCGCCGGGAACGCCCGTGGGCCGCTTGCAACAGCAACGACGGAAAATGCAAATCGTGGACATGTTTATGATGGTATCGGATGGCGATCGTGGACATGACGGCGGTGATGGCAATGGCCAATGATGGCGACACTGGTGTCGTGGGCAGCGAGCGGATCGGACGATGATGCGATGGTGGCGGTGATGATGCTGATGATGTTGTTCTCTTCTTGCAAATGTCGTCGTTGCTGTCGTCGATGATGACGACGGCGGTGGCCGCGATGCTCAGGGCGGGCGCCGCGCGAGCGCGCCGCGGCGGAGCGCGCGGCGCAGCGGGGCGAATTTTCGCCGCTGGGCGGATTCCCTTTCGCAGCGGCCCGCGCCGTCGCGGCGCTCCGCTTCCATCCGATGGGCGGCAATATCACTATCTAATCGGCTCTTCCCGCGCGCGCGCTGGCCGACGGTTGGCCGCGAGTTGCCGCGGGGTGCCCCAGCGAGTCCGCGCGCGCGCGGGCGGCGCAAGGAGCGGGGCGGGGGCGCGCCGGGCTCGGGCACGTCAGGATCGACATGCGGCCGGGCACCTCGTGTCGGACTTTGCCTTCTTGCGTGGCCGACCTGTCCGCGAAACAGCGCGCGGGGCGCTCTCGTTGAGTCCGCGGCCATCAGCCCCCCCCCTTCGCGCCGCGCCATCTCGCGCCGCGCCCGCCCCCGACTGGCCATCCCCTGCCCCACACACGCCGCGCCCTTAAGGGGGGCGGTGGGGGCGGAAGGCTCTGCCCCCGGCACGAGCGCCCGACGACGCGGCCGACGTCGACCCCACGTTGGGCATGGCAGTGGCGGCCCCCCACTGGTAAGATCGCGAGCTCCAGCGCCACGCTGAACCATCTCTTTGACTGGGCCGCGGCAGGGGGCCTCGGCGCCAGCGGGCGCGCCCGCGCGCCGGCGAGGCGCCCGCGCCGAAGTCGGGGCAGCGTCTCGCCCTCACCCGATGGGCCGCGGCGCGCCGGCAGACCGCCCGGCAGCGCTCCGTCGCCCTGCTCGCTTTCGCAGCGTCTGGGAGGGTGGCGCACCGCCCGCCAGGCAATGTCTCGACGACGTCACTGTCTCCTGCGACGCCGAGCCCCGCCGCCAAAGCAATCGAGACGGGGCCCGCGCCAGCGGGGCCAGGCACGCGAGCGCGCAGGCCGACGACGGCGACACGGCAAAGTCTGCCTGCGTCAAGGCCAGCGACACCTCGCCACGCGCAACCTCCGCATGCCGCGCGACGGCCCCGCGCGCGCGAGCGCCTCTGGCGCCCTGGCTGGCCCAGCCGCCGCCGCGGAGGCTCGGCCGCCGCCGCGGATATTCCCCGCTCGGGCGCCGACGTCGCCGCTCTGGCTGCCCGCGATCGTGGCCCGAGCGCTGGCGCCGACCTGGCCGGCGACAGCTCCGTTGACGCGTCGGAAGTCGACGGCGACCCCATGTCGGAGGACACCGACGCCGTGGACGACCGCGCCCCCGCGTCTCTTAACAGGGGCCCAAATCCGCCGTCGACGCCGCAGTCGCGCCCTTGGCTGGCGACACCTGGGAACCCACTCCGGCACCGCGGCCGCAGTCACCGGCATGGACAGGCCGTGCCCGCGCGGGCCGCACGGGAAGCAGAATGCGACCGGGATGGACCCGCGCCCTCGCCGCCTCCCCCCCCGCCCTCTCCGACGACGACATCGCCCAGTCCACTCGATGGCACCATGCGCGACGGACCGGGGGGGGGCTGCTGGGCTGTCCGCGAAGCCGATGCCATTCTGCATTTGCTTTTCGCGCGAGTCCTCAGGGCCGCGCAGCGCGCGGGCGTCGCGCCCGCGCCGCTCCTGCGCGTCGCTGATACTTGGCCCCGCCATGGCTGCGGAGAAGTCCCGACCGACCGGCGGCTCCTTGATTAACCGTCTGCAGAGGTGCGCCCTCGATCCAAGATTCTTCTCTGTCGCGGGCGCTCGCCGTTCCGCGTCGCCGACGGCGGCTGGACTAGATGTCTCTTCGCAGGAAGCCATCCGCCTCCGCTGCCTATCCGGTCAGACGATCTATGGATGAAAAGATGCGTGGCGGCCTGGGCCCTGGTCCTGGAACCGGGGGCACGTCGCGGTTTCCCTCCTCGGCGGGGCCCCGCTGCGCACGCAGCGTGGCCCCGCGCACGCTCGCGATGCAATCGCGCGGTGGCTGGCGCAGCCGACGCGCGAGCGCGGCGCGCAATCGACGGCCTCCCCCGCGCGAGCCGGCTGCTGGGGGGCACGGGCACCAAGGCAAAGTCGGCTAGCTCCGTCGCGGCCAGCGAGTGCATCCTAGGAGCAGACGTCCAGGCGCCCGCCCATTGCCCGCGCGGGCGCGGTGGACATCCAGGCCTTCAGCGCTGCTGCCAGGCCGCGGCGCCAGGCCTTGGTTCATTTCTGAGCCGTGTTGGCCGCGCGCGTCCCTGGCCGCGCCATCGAACTGACCGCCCGCGACGGTGAGTCCGCCGGGGCACTTGCCCGGGCGCCGCGGCCACCCCGCGGGGCACTGCCCGGGCTCAGACCCGAGATGGGCTCATCGGCCGCGCGGGGCTAGCCGGCAAGCCGTTCATCTGCTCGATTGGCTCTGGCTTGGCTGCCCATCGAGTTCCTGCAGGACGGTTGGGGCGCCGCGCTGGGGCCCCTGCCGCCGCGATCCCGCGGTCCGGGGGGGTCGGTGTTTGTTCGCGGCGTTCGGAGTTCTGGCGGGCCCCGGGCCCGCCCCCGCCGACGCGGCCCCGCGGCCCACTGCTGTCGCGATCCCGCGGTCTGCGGGGGCGTGCTCTTATGGCGTTCGAAGCTCCGCCGAGACGCCTGACGCTCCGCCCCCGCCCCCGCTGCCGAGACGCCCCCGCCGACGGAGCCCCGCCCGGCGCCACCCCCCCCCTCCCTCGCTGCCGAGCTCCCACGGTTTGCGGGGGGGGCGTGCTGTGACGGTGTTTGAAGTCCTGCTGGGCCCAGGGCCCCGCCCGCCGACGCAGTCCCGGCCCCCTCCGCTGCCCCTGCCCCGCGACGTGTGGAAACTTGTGCGTTGGCGGTGTTCGGCGGAGCTCTGCGAAATCCCGCCCCCCCCCCCCCGCTCGCGCAAGCGCCCCGCTGCCCCGATCTCGCGGTCTGCGGCGGGGGGGCGGCGGCGGCGGCGACGACAGGTGGCTGCGGGGGCGGCGGCGGCGCGGGCGACGAATGATGGAGGGGGGGGGTCGGGGTGGACCTTAAGGAGGCGGGCGACAGGCATGACCAGAGCCAGGGGGGGGCAGAAGACAGGGGAACGGGGATGGGGCGTGTGAAATGGTCGCCAAGGCCATCGTCGGGGGGGGGGGGGGCGAAGGGGGATGATCGGGAAACCCGAAATGGAAGTGGGTAGGAAGGGGGGGGGCGAAATGATTGGCTGCGCCGACATCAGGTGCGCGTGGACGAGAGGAGGGGGGAGGCTTCGGGTGGCGACGGCGGGCGGGGCGGGGGGGGGGGGGGGGCGACGACGACGTTGGGGGGGGGGGGGGGGTCGGGGTTGCGGGGTGACGGCGGCGGGGGCGGGGGGGGTGTCAGGGGGGTGGTGGACGACGGCGGGAGCGGCTCTGGTGTGGCAGGTGGGGGAGTTCGTGTAAGGTGAGGGGCAGAGGGAGGGGCCACAGGAAGGCGTTGGGAAGCAGAGCGTTGGGAGAGTAACGGCAAGCGGGGGCGAGCGGTAATAGGCGGTAGTGGAAGGTAATGGCCGCTAATAGATAGCAATGCGGTGCCAATAGGACGTCTCAGGGCTCCATGGTTTTGACATGTAACCATGGCGCGCGGAGCGCGCCAGGGGCGGCGCCGGGGGCGCCTCCAGGGGGGTCCAGCGCGGATCCGAGAAATCCGCGCGGACCTCCGAGTTTTGTTTACTGTTTATGTTTCGTTCCCCTGCTGCCGTCGCCGATACATCGACGATGCGGACCGATCCTGTGGCCCCCTCTCAGAGGCAAGGGGCGCGTAAAACCACTGGCCCCCATGATTAGCGTTTACCGAGCGGCCCTGGGCGTCTACTGGGCAGACCTGCCCGCTCGTGAATCGCTCCTTGGGCGCATTCTTGTAGGGGCGTTTTTCTTCTGAGGGTGGCTCCTCTCCTCTGCTCTCAATTCGTCGGGGGCGGGCAGAACCCCCACCCTTACACGTCCATTAGTGAATTGTCCGTTTTCGGTTCGAGAGGGCGCCGCGGCCGTCGTTTTCCAGGCTTGCGCCCGCCAGGTTTGGGCCCGAGGTCGTTTTCACTAAACCACGTTTTACTAAAGGGGGTTCTGTCCATCCCCGAATTCAAATCCTGCCCCATTCCCAGACGCCCGACGTCCTGATTGTTTCATAACGTCGACCCCCCGAGGTCTCGACCCATTCCCCCGGACCGGTTTTTCCTCCCGAGCCGTTTTTTGACACGGTTCCGAGGCCCAGCGAGGGCCCCCAGAGGCCGAAAAAATGGCAAGCACCATTTCCCGCCATGCTTTTCTAATTGCCCGAGGGGGTCTGGGCTGAAGGAGAAACCCCCCAGGCATGGGCGAGACTCCGCCGAGCCCGACCCGGACAAAGCAGGCCGAGCTCGAGGAGCGGAGGCGGCAGATCCTTCCTTCGGACCCTTTCTGGGCGTGCCGCGAGCACGCAGCAGCACGACCAGCGTCCCTGCCCCGCTTCCGGCCCACGGGGAACTGCACGGATCCATCCGGCTCTCGAAGCGTGCCGCGTGTCGGTGCAGCCCCAGGGGCCGGTCCCCGCGGAGAGGTGAGGCCGCGTGAGGCGTGCCAGGAGGGGCTTCGCCGTCGAGGGGTCCAGAGTTTAGGTTCCCATACCTCTGCCCCTCCGCTCGTTTTCGCCTTTTTGGGCCTGCTGGGAGGCCCCCTCGGCGCCACCGCTGGATTCGCCTCGAAGCCCTGGTCGGAACGCACCCCGGGAGACCAGGAAGCAGCGGTATGGGTACTTTTTGTTTCCCCAGTATGATGACGGGGTCGAGAGATTCGAAAGAGCGCGTTCTGTGGTCGCTTGGAGGGGGGGGGTTGGAACCGGCCCCCCCATGGATTGAAGGGGGAGGGGGGTTTGAACCCCCCCCTCCCCATCCCCCCCTCTCTTCCGTGACGGAGAGGGGGGGGGGGCGTTCACCCCTCACCCTCCCTCGCTCCTCCCTACTCCTCCTCTTTCCCTCTCCTCGGGCTGGCGCCAGCGTCTCCAATGCAGCGTGCCGCGGTGGCGGCCCGCGGAAGTTGCCGCGTGAGGTCGTTGTGCCATCTCGCGTGAGACCCGTTCTTGATCGTCGTTCGTGTGGGCTTCGAGCCTCTCCGCAAGCCTTCTGAGGGGCATTTGTGAAGCCTCCTGGGCGCCTCTTGGGCGCCTCTCGGGGCCTCTCTGCAATGGTGCTCGTGGTGGTGGGTGGTGGTGGTGGTGGTTTGTGGTGGTGGTGGTGGTGGGTTCTGGTGGTGGTGGTGGGGGTGAGGTGGTCGTTGGTGGTGATAGTGATGGTGGTGGTGGTGGTGATGGTGGTGGTGGTGGTTGATGTGGTGGCGGTGGTGGTGGTGGTGTGGAGGTGGAGGGTGGTGGTGATGGTGTGGTGGTTTGTGGGGGTGGTGGTGGTGGTGGTGGTACTTGTGGTGGTGGGTTGTGGTGGTGGTGTTGGTGGCGGTGGTGGTGTGGTGGTTTGTCGTGGTGGTTGTGGTGGTGGTATGTCAATGTAGTGGTTGTGCCGCGAAGTGGTTTGTGAAGAGGGTGGTGGTGGTGGTGGTGGCGGCGGTGGTGGTGGTGGTGTGGTGTTTTGTTATGGTGGTGGTGGTTGTGGTAGTGGTGGCGGTGGTGTGGTGGTTTGTCGTGGTGGTGGTGGTGGGTTGTGGTGGTGGTGGTGGCGGTGATGTGGTGGCTGAGGTGTGGTAGTCTGTGGTGGTGGTGGTGGTGTGGTGTGTCGTGGTGGTGGTGGTGGGTTGTGGTGGTGGTGGTGGCGGTGGTGGTGGCTGAGGTGTGGTAGTTTGTGGTGTTGGTGTTGGTGGTGGTGACGGTGGTGGTGGTGGTGGTGGCAGGTTGTTGTGGTGATGGAGGTGGTGGTTGTGGCGGTGGTGGTGGTGTTGGTGTGATGGTTTGTGGTCGTGGCGGTGGTGGTGGTGGTGGTTTGGTGGTTTGTGGTGGTGGTGGTGTGGTGGTTTGGTGGTTTGTGGTGGTGGTGCTGGGTTGTGGTGGTGATGGTGGTCGTGGTTGTGGCAGTGGTGGTGGTGTGGTGGGTTTCTGTTGTGGTGGTAGTGGTGGTGGGTTCTTGTTGTTGTTGTGGTGGTGGTGGTAGGTCGTTTGTGGTGGTGGTGGCTGTGGTGGTGGTGGTTGTGTGGTGGTTTGTGGGGGTGCTGGTGGGTTATGGTTTGTGGTGGTGGTCGTGGTGGTGGCGGTGGTGGTGGTGGTGTCGTGGTGGTTTGTGGTGGTGGTCGTGGTGGGTTGTGGGTGGTGGTGGTTGTGGCGGTGGTGGTTGCGGTGGTGGTGGTGTGGTTGTTTGTGGTGGTTGTGGTGTTGGGTTGTGGTGGTGGTGATGGTGGTGCGGTGGTTTATGGTGGTGGTTGTGGTGGTTGTGGTGGGTAGTGGTGGGTTGTGGTGATGGTGGCGGTTGTGGTGGTGGTGGTGGTGTGCGGTGGTTTGTGGTGGTGGGGGTGGTTGTGTTGGTGTGGTTGTGGTGGTTGTGGTGGTGTTGGTGGTGGTGGTGGTGGCGGTGTTGGTGTTGTGGTTTGTGATGGTGGTGGTGGTGGTGGTGGTGGTGGGGGCGTGGCCTTCGGGTCTTCGCGTCACCGTGTCTTGGCTTCTGGTTGTAATTCCACTGGATGCCTCGTGGGGTCTCGTCAGAAGGGCCGGGGGGCGTCTGAGGAGCATTTGTGAGGGCTCCTGGGCGCCTCTTGGGCGTCTCTGGAAACTTCCTAAGGGCCCCCGGTGGCTCTTCGGAAGCAAAGGCTCGATATGGCGATTTGTATTTTCCCGTGGCGGTTTCTGCTTTCTCTCTCGTCATCGTCGCTGCGGCTGCCGTTGGTGCTGCCGGCCGCCACCAGCGCAGGCGCTAGAACCAGCACCGAGGCGAGAGAGGAGGGGGGGGGTCGAACCCCCCCCCTCCCCCGGGAAGCCGGAAGAGAAAACATTGAGGGAGTTAGAATCTCCTGCTCCTTTCCCAGGGGGGGGGGGGGAACCCCCCCCCCTCCTGGGAAGGGCGAGGGGGGGGTCGGGAGGGGGGGGGTAAGGAGAGGGGAGACCCCCTGGTTCTGATTGGCGGCGCCGAGTGTTAGGGGGGGGGCCCACCCTGGTTCGAAACGCGCCGCCGAATGTCCCCAAGGCAAGCGCCCGTGAAACGCGCTCTCTCAGAGATTCGGACGCGGCTTTGTGGCGACGACGTGGCTTTCCACGACTGCGGTCAGGCGTCGCCTGATGTGTGTGTGGAGGGGTCGGGGCACGCGCCAGAGTCGCAATCCCTGCCCGAGCGAAGTGCAGCACAACCCAGTGTTGGGCGTGTGTCGCGTATGTATGCAGATGCGATCGTTTTCTTATTCACTGTTTCGCCGATCGGCGCGGGCCCTCGCACATCCTCCCCCCCCCTGGAAAAGATCTTGGCTGTTTCTGGCGCCTGTCGCAAGCAGGTGGAGTCTCCCCCAAAGGACGTACTGGTACAAACAGCCGCATTAAACAGAGGTCCAGAGCCAGACTTCTCCCCCCCCTTTCCGCCCAATGTCGAAACGCCGAACAAGAAAACGCACGCATGCAGAGGAGAAGCAGTCCTATATGGGATCGGAGTAGATGGGGTCGGAGGATCGCGCCGCATCGCCTATGCGTCGACAATGCGGCTCGATGTGGAGCCCGTATCTCCCCACGCCGACGTCGCCGATGCATTGCCGATACATCGGTGATGCATCGGCGATGCGGCGCGATCCTCCGGCCCCACCTACTCCGATCCCACCTGGGAGGCCTCCAGTGGAAGCGTGCAGAAGAGAAGCAAAGGCCACCGCCACTCGTGACCCGTCGGGGGGGGGAAGGGGGCGACCCCTGAGCGGCGGACCGCCGCCAGGGCGTCCAGTGATGTACTGGACGACGCCCAGGCGTGCGACCGCCAGGGCCCCCTCGGAGAGGTGAGGCCGCGTGAGGCGTGCCAGGAGGGGCTTCGCCTCCGAGGGATCCAGAGTTCGGTGTCAGAGAAGGAAAGGTGCCGATACTTCCACCCCTTCCCTTTTTCGGCCTCCTGGGAGGCCCTCGTCGCCACCGCTGGATTCACCTCGAAGTTCAAGTCAGAACGCACCCCGGGGAGAGGTCCAGGGAGTAGCGGTATGGATTTTTCTGGTCTCCCCAGAGTTTGTCGCCTTTTGCACATTCGTGGGGGCCCTGTCTGTTCTGTAATCCGCACTCTGTTCTTGCATCTGACACGGGTTCGACGCGGATTCGATGCGGGTTTGACGTGGGCTCGACGCTAATTCGGCGTTCGACCATGGATTCGACACGGATGTGACGCCGATAGCGGCGCGAAAGGTCACGCAAGGTCACCCGAAGATGCTGTGCAAGATGTAGGCTGGCATCTCTTCCTCGGCGGCAGGGCGGCTGAGGCAAAGCGAGAGCCGCTCCGTCGGCGGGAGCCGGCGCGAGGCCTGCGGAGGCCGGCGGAAGGGAAAAGTGCGACCCCAAGAGGTGTTTTTGTTTGGTTGTGTTCACGGCTCCTGGAGTCGGGCATGTGAAGACGACAGCATCGTTGTCGTCGGCTTCACTCGACGTCGGGCCCAAGGAGGCAAGCAGTTGCGGGGCGCCCTGGCTGGCCTTACCAAATAATGTCCTATGTAAGAACCTTTTTGCGGTTTGCACAACATGCCCTTAGAGCATGCCTGGCCGAGACCTTCTTGATTTAAAGCATCGGTTTCTCTGTCTTAGAACACTGTGTTTGCTATTCGGGCATCTCTTTGTTCTGAGACTATGTCTTGTGTTAGGCCTACGGGAATGCCAGGACGTGCTGTTCCTGAGCAGGGGAGGAGATCGAGGATCGTCCGCGGGACGAGTGCCCTCGCCACGTCAAGCGGGCGTGAGGGTCGTCCGCGTCGTCGCCTCCGTCGGGCCCCGCCGCGAGGACGAGAGTGCGAGGGAGGGCTGCGGCTGCCACTTCGCGCGCGCGTGCGAGTGGCTAGTGATCCCAGAGAGCAGCGTCGGCCGGATGGTTTACGAGCTCGTGCTCCTGACGATGTTGTTGTACGTCGGCACGTTGTTTCCGTATAGGCTCGCGCTCATTGAGTACAGACTCCGCGAGAGCAACGACGCCCCGTGCCGTAGCGCGGAGGACGACCCTGTTGGGTGGGAGGTGTGGGAGGCGATCGTGGACGGGTTCTTTTATATTGATTTGGTGTTGAACTTCTTTCTCACCTACCGGAAAGGCTCGCGCGAGATCAAAGACCCATGTAAGATTGCAAAGAATTATTTGAGCAGTTATTTCATCGTAAATTTGATCGCGTGCCTTCCTGGATCATTATTCATCCCTCTGATGGATTTCATCGGTATAGATCCAGGCGGCTGTGGTGCTGGCACGAGCTCGAACGATGCGGCCCGTCTCATACGCCTGCAGCGCGCTGCCAGGCTGGTCAGACTAGCACGCCTCCTTCGGATGAACCGAGTAGCGCAGAAAATGATTGAGCAGTTGAGCGAACAGGTGCAGGAGTCGATGAAGACAAAAATGCATAAACATTAACTGTTGGCGCTCTGTGCGGATCTCTTGGATCGGCGCTGAGTCCCCTCGGCGGCGCCTCCGACGCCGCCCCTGGCGCGCTCTGAGCGCTGGGGAGGGGGGTCCGGCGCAGATCCAAGAAATTCGCGCGGAGCGCCAAAAGTTTATGTTTATGCAGTTTTTTCTTCCCCTGAGGAGGCCCTGAAGAAAGCCGTTTTCCTCAACATGCTGATCGGCCTGTTCTGGATCGTGCACCTTCTGGCCTGCGGCTGGTACCTGTGCGCCGCGCTGCACGCCGACCACTCGGAGACATGGCCAGCACGCCGCCTCCTAGGCAGAGGAGACCCCCTCCTCCTCCTCCTCCTCCTCCTCCTCCTCCTCCTCCTCCTCCTCCTCCTCCTCCTCCTCCTCCTCCTCCTCCTCCTCCTACTCCCCCTCCTCCTCCACCCTCCTCCTCCACCCTCCTCCTCCTCCTCCTCCTCCTCCTTCTCCTTCCCCACGTCCCCCTTCCTCCTTCTCCACATTCTCCCACACAGGAGACGAAAATCTGCTGACGGAGTCCTCCACAGTCCAGTGGATACACTCCATGTACTTCGTGCTCACGGTGTTCACTACCGTCGGCTTTGGGGACATCAGCGCCCTGACCAGCGGCGAGATCATTTACGTCGTTCTCGTCATGCTGGTCGGCGCCGTGGTTCACAGCATCATCATCGGGGGGGTGATTAACCTGGTCTCCGAGAGCAGCGACGACGAGAAGTGGCGAGCTCGCCAGAAGAGCCTCCTGACGTCTTTTGGGAGGCAGACGCTGATGCAGCGAAGCTCCATCAACAAGCTGACCAACTACATCGACCAGATGGAGCAGTCGGGGCCGCAGGACTACGACCGCCAGGAGATGCGCAACGTGATCACCGGCGCCAGCCTTCCCCGCCAGCTCGTCGGGGAGCTACCCGCCCAGCTCTTCAAGGGGCTGCTGGTGGAGTGCAAGTTCGTGACCACCTGCGCGTCGTACTGCCACGAGGGGGCGATCCCGCCCCGCTTCACGCTGCTGCTCGCAACCATGCTGCACGTGCAGCACTTCAAGGCGCAGGAGATCCTCTTCCAGCTGCACGACAGTGCCTCGAACATCTTTCTCGTCCAGTCCGGCACGTTCGCCGCCATTGGCGAACCTGGGCCCGCGGGCGGCTCGGACGCGACGGTTTTCCAATCGCCGACGGTGCTGAAGCAGGCGACGCCCGGCCGGCCGAACCCGCACACGGACCCCAGCTCGCCAAGCGGGCGCCCACGGCCATGGGACGGCCCAGAGACGCCAGAGACGCCACACGGTTTCAAGTCCAGCCATTCGAACGTGGCCCACCTGAAGAAAGCCCCCAGCGAGCTGTGGAGAGAGCTGTCGTCGCACCACTCCAAGAAGACCACCACAACCGACGTGTCAGGGGTCTTGGACACGAGCGGGCAGAGCCAGCACTACTACAGCAGCGTCCTGAGCACGGACTGCGTGTCCACCCTGCACCAGCAGAGCAGCGCCTGGATCCCGCACGTCAGCGACGCGGAGCAGTGGCTGGAGATTGACCTCGGGAGACCGAAGTTCGTCTGTGGGGTCAGGCTGGCGGGACACCCCTCGGCCGATGCCTGGGTCACCGAGTTCCAGGTGCTGACCTCCACCACGCGGGGGTTCAACCAGGACGTGTCGCACTACCTCGAGGAGCCCCGTGTCTTCCGAGGCTGCGCCGACGGCGTCACGGAGGTGGAGGTGGGCTTTGTGCCGCGGATGGCGCAGTTCATCCGCATCAAGCCCACTGGATGGCACAACAGGATCGGCCTGAGGGCGGGGGTCTTGCTCAGCCAGAACCGCCTCTTCCCCTACATGCTGCGCGGCCAGAAGAACTACTTCGGCGAGGAGGTGCTCATCTGGAGCACCCGCATGTACACGATGCGGTGCGAGGCCGCTGGCGAGGTGCTCCTGCTGCACAACCGCGACCTCTGGGCCGACGGCGTCGGCGCCAGGCTCTACCAAGACTTCCCGCAGTTCCAGAGGGGCCTCCGAAGTGCCGCGGAGAAGCGCCACCAGCACCGCTTGAACATGCTCGGCAAGCTCACCGGCGGCTGCAGTTACAGGCACTTCGCGGCGAAATTGATCCAGAGGTTCTGGAGGAGCACGGATGGCAACGGGAATCGTCTCAGTTCTTGCGCGATGTTTGGGTTGTGTCCCAGCCATCTAGATTTGCTATCCTCTGTTCCATCACCGAGGAAGCATACCACCGACATAACAGGGATGATGGGGGCAGAGCTGACCAGACACCAGGGGAACGTTCCCAGCCACTCGGCAGACCATAAGATCGCCGGGGTGGTCACGAGCGTGACCGAGCTCCGACACGACGTCACCAGCCTGAACAGGAAGCTGGACAGCATGGCGGCAGCGCAGAGCGCGCTGACCGACCAATTAGAGGCCGTGACCGACCAGCTTCAGCAGCTGATCGCCTCCAAGTGCTGACCCGAGGACTCCCTCCCGTCATCCTTCCCTCTGCCCTCCCTCCAGTCGCCATCCCCTCCATGGTCTTCCTCGCGAGGTGCTCTCTCGGCACGGCTCGGCTGCCGCTTCGTCAAAGACTGAACGGCGGCGCGCATGATGTTATTTGGGTTCGTACCTTGGTAGGTGTCCGTGGGCAGAAAAGGCTTCCGTCCTTCGCCAAAGGCTCCCCCACGGTGCCTCGAGGCTGTTTGCGTACTTTCCTGGCCGCGCCGGCAGCGCGAGCACATTCAACACGCAGTGTTGTGAACTTAGGTGGTGGAGGAGAGTCAGGAGGCGGAGGAGGATACTACAGGCAAGCGACGAAACGATTGGTTGTCGCGCCTACATGTTTGTTGGGCTCTTCTTCATCGCCCAGAGCAGCCGATGCCATTGACGCCGTCGGCTCACCTTCCGCTGGTCCAGGTAGAGGCCCGCCGGGAGATGGAGGGGACTGGAGGCGAGGTGAGAAGGGCAGTGCAGAGCGCAAATGAACGACGGGAAGGACTTCGGAAAAAAGAGGGGATATCGACAGTGAGGACAAGGGCTCGACATACATTGAGAAAGAAGGGAAAGGGGAAGACGAACAATAGGGAGGGAAGCCTGGAAGGAGGAGCCAGCCTGGAGGGGGGATGAGGGAGATCAGCAGCAGGATGAGGGATTTCAGAACGTGAGCAATCAAAACAAGTTGGCTCGTCTTTCACAAAGATTCAGGAACATTCTGATTGGTAAAATGGTAGCACTCGGAGAAAAAAACAAGCAACGCGCTGCAAAGTGTCTGGAGGATGGGTAAGAGAAGGAACGGGAGCACGTGTAGGACTAGGATGAGGAGCAAGATGAGGAGGGGGAGGAGGAAGGAGGAGGAGGAGGAGTGGGAGGGAGGAGGAGGAGGAGGAGGAGGAGGAGGAGGAGGAGGAGCAGGATCCATAGCAGTGGCAAAAGAAGGGCACAGGAGGAGGAGGAGGAGGTGGAGGAGAAGGCAGAGCATGCGCAGCATGAGCGCGGGCACGAGCGGGCGCAGAGCATCGACGACTCGAGCGGGCCGGCGGCCCCCGCACCGCTCCCGCCGCGCCGCCCCCACAAGCAGTGACACGGACGCCGGCACGGTCTCCACGAGTGCCGGTCTGCGGCGCGAAGGGTCCGGCTGGTCTTGGCGTGCGGCCTCGCGCGCGGAGCGAGAGCACGACGGGGGGCGCGAGGGCCCCAAAGGGGCAAGTCGGCGGCCGAGCGAGGGGGGGAGGTGAGAAGGATAGGGGCCACCTGCGAGCCCTACCCCCACCCCCCACGATTTCTGAGGGGGAGGGCGGGGTTCACTTCGCTCGGGAGCGCCCGACCGAACGAGCTGAACCCCAGCCTCCCCCTCAGAACTCGTGTGGGGTAGGGGTAGGGTTCGCAGGCGGCCCCCTAAAGGAGGAGGCCGTCTCAGGAGGCTCGGAAGTCCCCCGGCCTTCTCAGAAGTCTCCTAAGCCTTCCCCGAAGACACAGCAAAAAACCTCTCAGAAGGCGCGAGGGCTTCGGAGGGCTTCTGGCGTGGCGCGCGAGTCGCAATTCTAAAAGTCTGCTCGCCGCTCCCCGTATTCACGGGAGTGCGCACGCTGCAGGGCGGGCACCTCGCAAAGGCGCAGCCTCGTCGTGAGCTCGCGCGCGAAGTGAGCGTGGAGCCCACCGCATGCACCGTTTCCTTGGCGTCGCTCGAACGTGTGCCTCCTTTTCTCGGCGAGGACCAAAAAGAGCAGCGCGCGGAATCGAAGCCGTGCACGGGGAGTGGACGTCCGAGCGATGGCGAGCTTCGCAGGGCTCGTGCGGCGCGTGCCACGGGGGGGGGGGGGGGCTCGCCTCCTCGGCGCGCCGCGCCTTCGGGGGGGGGTCGGCCGGCGGAGGAGGAGGGCAGCGGTGGGGCGAGGGCGCCCCCCGCCAGCGGAGGGCGGAAGGGCGCAGAGGCGAGGCGTCAGAGCTCCGGGTGTGGGCGTGCGCCGGCAGGCGCCGCGTCTCTTCATGCTCGGGCCCGTGGCTGCGGCCAGCCAGCAACGGGGGTGTGCCGCACCCCATCGGCGCCCCGCTTCCGAGCGGGCCAGCGGGCGAGAGAGAGAGAGAGAGAGAACAGGCGTCCTGCTCAGGCGAGAGCGCAGCTGTCGGGGTCAACTTTCGTGGCGCTTAGGCGAGGATGGCACGTTACGTGTTCTGTCTCTTTCTTTCTCTTTCTTTCTGCATGTGTGTGCGTGTGTGTGTGTGTGTGTGTGTGTGCGTGCGTGCGTGCGTGCGTGCGTGGGTGGGTGGGTGTGCGTGCGTGCGTGCGTGCGTGCGTGCGTGTGTGTGTGTGTGTGTGTGTGTGTGTGTGTCTCTCTTTTCTGTCTGTCGTTTTTGTTTGTTGTTTTTGTTCCTCTCTCTTTCTCTCTCTCTCTCTCTCTGTCTCACTCTCGTGGCTCGTATTCCTGTAGGACTGGCGAGCGAACTGCAAAACAAGCATCTGATCACACTGCTCAGTTTTGGTGAAAGTAACATGCATGCATCACGACAGTTCCCCCGTCATGAGGTGATTATTTATAATGCGTCGGGGGGGGGCGGGATTCCCTCACCCAGACCTCCCGCCCGAAAATGGTCTGCCAACTTGAGGACGGTGGTTTGGATTTAGTGTTCGGTGGTGTTTGGTGTTTTGGGTGCGTGCGTGGTGCTTTTTTTGGGGGGGACGGCTCCAACCGTGGTGTAGCCCAACTTGCCAGGGTATAGCCCGAGAAACTAGGGTATACTTGCTGGGGTATACAGTTCAGCCCTTCTTGCAGGGTCCTCCCTAGAGCCGCCCAGGATCGCCTCCAGAGCACCCCTCCCAGGGCCCTCCAGGGCACCCCCAAGGCCCTCCAGGGGACCCTCAGCGCCCACTTATAGGGCTCCGCTCAGGACTCACCAAAGCTCCCATCCAGGACTCCGGGGCTCCCCGGGCCTTCCCCCAGGGCCTTCCAGCCGCAGGGCTCCCCCCAGGGCTCCCCAAGGGCCTTCCTCCATCCCCTCCCGGGCCCGCCAGGGCATCCCCCCCGAGCCCCCCTCGAGCCCTCTGGGGCTTCCCCGGGCGCCCCCCCGGGCTGCCCCGAACCAATATCAGGCCCCCCCCCCCCTGGGCTCCTCAGGCTCACCCTTCTCGGGCCACCCAGGGCGCGCCTCTCGGGCCTCTCAGGCTCCCCAGGGCATCGCCTCGCGCCCGCCCTCCCGGGCCCCCCAGGAGCCCCCATCTCGGGCGCCCCAGGGCTTCACCTCGAGCATTCCAGGCCTCCTCCTCTCGGGCCACCCATGGCCCCCTTCTCGGGCCTCCCAGCGCTGCTCTGCTGCTCCGGCCCCACAGGGCGCCCCCTCTCGGGCGCCCCATGCAATGCATCCCCCCCTTGGGCCCCCCAGGACCCTTGTCTTTCTCGGGCGCCCCTCTCGGCGAGGCCACCCCTCGCACCCTCCAAGGCCACCCGTTCCTATTGCATCCCCTAGGCTCCGCCTCCCGGGCGCGCTGATGTTGTGAGGGGCGAGTTTTCGGCGGCGACCAAGAGCGCTAGTCTGAAGTAGAATGGGAGGAGGTATCGAGCGGGAGCGTTGTTGTTGTCGGGGGGCTGGCTTGCGGCCCCAAGGCGCGAGCGCCAATCTTGCGCAGAAAGAACATGACTATCAGGCGGGAGCGCTGATTTTGTTGGGGTCCAGTTCTCGGCGGCGACCAAGAGCGCCAGTCTGAAGTATCATGGGAGGAGGTATCGAGCGGGAGCGTCGTTGCTGTATGGGGGGCTGGCTTGCGGACCCCACGCGGGAATGCCATACGCGGGTGAAGAGCGAGGGAGTATCGAGTGAGAACGCTGGTTTTGTTGCAGGACTGGCTTTCGTCGGCTGGCGAGGGCACCAGTCCTGAGTGAAAAGCCAGGAGGTATCGAGCGGGAGTGTCGTCGTTTCTGTGAGCGGGGCAGTTTGCGGACCCAATGCGGGAACGCCGTTCATGGGTAAAAAGCGAAAGCATCGAGCTGCAGTGCTCGCGTTATGGAAAGGCCGGTTTTCGGCGGCGAGCAAGACAATTGATCTTGAAGGAAAGCCGTGGAAGTATCGAGCGCGTCCTTGTTGTAGGGGGCTGGTTTGCGGACCTAGAGCGCGAACGCGGGCTGGTTTGCGGGGGCTGGTTTGCTGGGGCTGGCGCCAAGGCGGGAGCGCCAAAGCGGATTAGGTGGGTCCAGCAATCATAAGTGTCTGGCATTTGCGATTTAAGAACAACAACCAAAAGCATGCGCCGCACCCGCGCGAGAGACCAACTTTTAGACGAAAGCTGAGCGGAGATCAGCATTTCGCTTTCATGTGCGCGTATCCGCTTCCAACGACTTGGCGATCAAAAGCCATGCGCGGCGCCGAAGCGGGAGCGAAATATTGAGGAATATTCCGCTCGGTTCTGAGGCGGTAAAGGCGTTTCATTCGCTTCACTTTCGGCGATTGAGGTTGCAACGCCATCGTCACAGCTTCGAACTTGGAAACATCGAGTTTGTGGATTGATGGGCAATTCTGGGTCTGCGGGCGAAGCCGAGGGAAGTGGGAATATTCGGTGACAAGGAATATAGATAGAAGGCATTGGGTGGTGCCAGAAGCAGAAGTCTACACATATACATATACATATATACATGTACATTCATAGAGATAGCAAAACCAATGACAATACTAATGCTAATATACGGGTGTGATTTCGAGCAGGGTGAGGAGGGTGGGCCAGTCAGCAAAAGTGAATTTGACAGAATGAGAGGGAGAAGGAAAAGGAGAAGGAACGAAGACGTTAATCACGGTGTGAGTGGAGGGCGGTTCCAAAAGGTAAGTGAGAGTAGGAGTGAGCAGATTGAGGTCGAGTGTTCATTGAGGAGCAGGCACAGGCGAAGAGGGAAAAGTAGGGAAACAGGTGTGAAAGCAGGGGAAGGATGAAGAGAAGGAGGACCAGGAGTGATACTATGATCTTTGTGCTGTCGAAATTTCAAGCGCTGATGCGGCGATCCTGTTGTATTTGCCGTGCTCACACCGTAGCATGTGCAGCATTGTACACTTCTGACTGCCCAGGTGGCAATATCTTCAGTTTACGCCACGCAACGTTAGCACCTTGGGCTCGTACTCAGTTCGGCTTGGACGATGTTTGCCCGCGTCGCATGCTGACACATCCAAACAGTGGGCTCTTGCATTCTCGATAATCGTCCT